TAAAAATCGTTTCGTTAACGAAACGAGACGAAACAGTAAAAATTTAGCGAAACGAAACGAAACAAAACGAAACATTTTAACTTTCAAAAAATTTAATAAAAACGGTTTTATTTTATTAAATATTAGATTTTAGACACGTTAATAGGCCAGTTATGGCCTATAATTGATCTAATAGCTTGGCGGGATCTTAAATTGTGGTCCCAGGTTACTCATACTCCACTATATCAGCCTTAATTCCACCAAATCAACTTTAATCGAATTATGTGTTGAGCATATGTGTATATCAGGGACCTGACGACCCGATTCCTGATTCCCTAAAATCGCGAATTAATTTTGTCGGAAATTACTATCCCCCAAACCCCTTCCTGATTCCCGACATTTTTTAAAATTTTTTAAACCCTCCAAATCCACCGATATCCCGTTTACTCTCTTCCAATTTCATATACCACCATTGCTCCCGCCAAATCCAATGATATATTTCTCAACTCAGATTTTTTTTTGATAACAACGTTAATGATTAGGGTTGCCAAAATGGACCGACTCTGACCAAAAGATCGAGTCGGGCCTAAGATATTTGGCCCGAAAAGACTTGTCTGGCCCGAATCGATAGAAACAGGCCCGAAAAAAGGCAACCATATTCATGATCATTGCCATCAGTTGCTAACTTTATTGAAACTCTTGCGCCTGCCCTGATTGGCATTAAGAGGTAGATAGATTCTATATGCTAATCTAGCATAGAATTTGAGCTTTGCGTATTAAAAAAACCAAATCAAACGAGAAATTCAAAAAAAAATATAGTAAATTATGCGCCGTAGGCGCTTAAAATCCAGAGTTCAGCGCCGCAGGCAAAAATTTTTTGAATTTTGATCACCAAATGGGAAAATTTTTCAGTTTTTGGGTAATATTTTGGTCTAAAAAATGGGTAATGTTTCGTTAACGAAACAGAGGTGTTTCGTTAACAAAACGAAACGAAACAAACTAAAAAGTGTTTCGTCACGAAACGAGACGAAACAGGAAAAAACATAACGAAACTAACGAAACAACGAAACGAAACGAAACGTTTCGTGCATGTCTGGCCCAGACCCAGCGCCCGTAGACTCCCCGCGAGGCGCGTGCCGCAAAACCCCGCGCGAAGCGCGGGGTTTTGCACAAGCGCCTCGCCGACGCTCCATAGGTTTAGGTTTTAGTTTTTCTATCGTAACTTTGTCCAAACTTGTCCAATCACGATGATTTTGGTGTCATTCGACTCAGCTCGACGAGCTCTTTCGAATGAGGTATAATTTGCATATTCGAACTTTTTACCCCCAAAAAAGTGCTTGGTCCCCCCTATGGTTTTTCGATTTTTGGGGACCCATATCTCGGTCCATAGTTGAGTCCGCGGGCTAATTTTGGTGTCATTCGACTCAGCTCGCCGAGCTCTTTCGATTGACATATAAATCATAAAAATCTAAAATCGCCCGGTAAAGTGTACTTAGGCCCACTTTTTTAATGATTATTTTTTGTATAATTATTTTTAAGTCTTTTTTTTTAATTTTCTCGCATTTTTATGTCGAAATTGAGACTATTTTTTAGCTAAATTTTAATTAAAACTAAGGGAAAATTCGATAATTATAGTTTAAATAATTAATAAAGCAATTAAAAAAAAGATTATAATATAATAATTAAAAGTATAAAGGAATTTTTAAAAAATTTTTGATTGATAACCATTTCTTATCAATGATTATCATAAAAATTTTTATCAAAAAAAACAATTAAATATCAAAAAAATTAAAATGAAAAATTCTAAAAATTCCTTTTATAATTTTTTTTAATTCTTAATAATCGTGCTTATCAATCGTACTACATAAAAAATTATTAATTAAACAATTCCGGAAAATTATATTTGTATTTCCTATTTTTACGGCTGCGCCGCAAAATGTCCTACCCTGAAAATGTCCTATGAACAAAATCCCGAAAATGTCCGGAATTTTCCGGATTTTCGGGAAACATTTTTCGGTTTATCCGGTAACTTTTTTCCCGTATTTTAAATTAAAATTACCCGGATTCCAAAGAAGGAATGGGGTAGGACATTTTCGAGTTAGGACATTTTGAGGGCGCGCCATTTTTATACTTTATTTAATTTTCTTTTATTTAATTTTCTTAAATAAAATTTTTAAAATTTTATTCAATATCAAATCAATTATAAAAAAAATATTCAAAAATGAATAATATTCTGATGACAATTTGTCATATAATTTTTTTATTTATTAGTAAAGTAAATTCACATTTAACTTCATAACATGTTTATAACTGAAAATTAAAAAAAATAAAAATAATTGGGTCAACCCTGAAGACTTACACCCCCAAGACCTACTGACCCTGAAGACTTACACCCCCAAGACCTAAGAAAAAGGTCTTGGGGGTGTCTTTTCTTTACACGTTTAATAGGAGATCCTCTTCATCCCAATAAATCCCTCTATCCATTTTAAAACTCAAAATCCTGGATATCCCCCTTAATCCCTCTTTATCTCCTTTAAAACCTTCAAATCCACCGATATCTCCCTTAATCCCTCCTAGTTCCTCTTTACCTCCTTTAAATCCCTCGATTAGACATGTAAAGAAAAGAAATAAATAATTTGATTTGATTAAAAAGTTGTAGGTCTTCAGGGTCAGTAGGTCTTCAGGGTGTAGGTCCTCAGGTGTAGGTCTTCAGGGTGTAGGTCTTTAGGGTCAGTAGGTCCTCAGGGTGTAGGTCTTCAGAGTGTAGGTCTTCAGGGTAAATAGGTCTTAAGGGTGTAGGTCTTAAGGGTGTAGGTCTTAAGGGTGTAGGTCCTCAGGGTGTAGGTCTTAAGGGTGTAGGTCTTTAGGGGTGGACTCAAAATAATTTTAAAAAAACTTACAATCATGCATAATCCTCGATTTTTTTCAGGACAATCAGGAACATTACAAGCTTCTACTTTTGTTTCCACTTTATAACTTGGAACAGATGTATCCATACTATATGTCACTGTTCTTGTGCAGCATGGAACAATATGATTATTAAAATCTTTATTATCCATTTTTAATATTTTATTAAAATTAAAAATTAAAAATAATAATAATAAAATGTTGAAAAATAAAATATAAAATTATATATAAAATAATATAATTTTAAAAAATTTCATCTCTTTACAGGGGTTGGGGTCGTTTTGGCGCCGGGCCGTTTTGGCGCGAGAACAAAAAAGTGGCTCTTGGGCGAGACCTAACTTCATAAAAATTTTCTCAAATTTCTTTAACATCCTTGACTACCTGCTCAAGAAATTTCAGAATTTTTTACCGAATATTTCTGAGGTTATAGTCGATGAACCTCGAAAAATTAGGCATTTTTCAAAAAATCAACATTTCTGGCCACAACTTCCGAAATTCTTAATCAAAAATTCTGAAATTTTTGGAGAACCTAGATAAGGGTACGAGAGTTATTATTGCAAAATTTTATCATTTTTGATAACGAACTCGCTATCTTATAAGCTCGCGCCAAAACGGCCCAGTCCCCTTTACAGGGTGACAAGAAAGTAATGGGGCACAGATTTTATGCCATAACTTTATTCAAATGAAAGATAATGGGATCTAATAAAGCTTATATGATAGAGAATTAAACGCGGAACAAGAATAATCAAGAATTTTTGAAGTGCCCACCCTTCCCTTGGAAACAAAGTCGAAGGCGCGTAGAAAGGAGAAAAGTTATGATTAAATGAAGGGTGCCCCATTTCTTTCTTGTCACCCCTGTACATATATATAGAGTTCAGCGGTATCGGGATTTAGAGAAAAACCCGGGATCGGGATTTAGGAATAGTCATCCCGATCCCGATCCCGGATCCCGACACGGGATCGGGATTAGCCGAAATCGGGATCGGGATTTGGACTGGAGATCCCGATCCCGGTCCCGATCCCGAATCGGGACCGGGATTGAAAAATCGGGATCGGGATTTACTAAAAAAATTTTTAAAAATTTTTATTTTCTTCACATACGACTCAGTATAATTCTAAAATTGCCGCTGCGGTGCTGAAATATAGAGTTTAAGTCTCACAAACACATAATTTACTTTCCGGTTGGGGATTATGGGGAGGTAAGGGGATTAAGGGAGGTAATTTAGGGGATTAGAGGAGATAAGGTAATGGGGGGGGGGATAAATGGGATTGGGCTTCTATTTTATGCGCCGTAGGCTAAAATTTTGAAAAATTCCTCTCAATCCCTCTTGATCCCTCGATATCACACCAAATCACTCAATATTTCATTAAAGTTGTAAAGAAAGCTTTGTTCATTTTTGCGGCGCCGCAGACGAAAATTTTGAGATTTTGGATGTCAATATGCCAAATTTTTTCCATTTTCTGCGCCGCAGGCGAAAATTTTTCTTACTTTCATGCCTCCCCTCTTTTGTTAACTTTATTTCACAGACTTCTAGTCAATTTATAAAGTCGGGATTTGCATCGGGATCTGATGCACATCCCGATCCCGATCCCGGATCCCGGCTCGGGATTGAGAATGACCGGGATCGGGATCGGGATATTTATTTCGGGACCGGGATCAGAAAAATCGGGATCGGGATTCGAAAAACCCGGGATAATCCCGCCCGATCCCGACCGGGATCCCGATCCCGCTGAACTCTACATATATACACATTTTTATTAAAAAATAAATAGAAAATAAATATTTAAAAATGTGTTAAATATTTCTAAAAAGATTTTTTTATTTAAATATTATTTATTATTAAAGTAACACATATTTTCTTTTTTATAGTTTAACAGAAAAAATCATTAGTGTTTATTATTTAACATCATTTAAAAAATAAAATTGTTAAAACATCTGCTGAAAATATAAATTAACATATTAAAATAGTCCAAATATAAATTTAATTTAAAATTTAAACTTATTAAAAAATTAAGCTTATAAAATCTTTTAAATAATAAATTAAACATTTGTTGTATAATTTAGCAGTGATTTTTGTTATTTTTTATACAAGTTTTGAGTGTATTTTAGAAAAGACTTGTAGGAGGCGAGATGGCCGAGCGGTCTAAGGCGCTGGTTTAAGGCACCAGTCTCTTCGGAGGCGTGGGTTCGAATCCCACTCTCGTCAGATATTTTTTAAAAAGTTTTTTTTGAATTTTTAAAATTGTCTAGAGCTAAATTTCAACGATTTTTATGATAAAAATATATTTAACAAAGTAGAATAAATTAAAAAACAAATATTTTTTAAATATATGATCAACTTAAAACCTTCTTTAGCCAATTCGTTTATTTTTTGTTTTTTCCCTTCTTTTTATAAATCAAAAGTATTCAAAATTAGTTCTCCTTCCGGCTATGGCTGATTTTTTGTTGCCATTGGAAACTCGATTTTGTGCAGCTTGTTTGAGTGTGAATTTTAAAAATTGCTTTAACGATTTGACAAGATTAAAGAGAAAAGATTATTTTATTATGAGTATTTTAGCTTTAAAATAAGGAGAAATATTTCCACAATTGGAGAAATAAATCAGAATCGAAATTACTACAACACCAGTATATCCACTCTCGTAGAACAGCAATGCATAATACAAGACATCCTATCACCACTTAACCTAATCCCAAGTTAATAACAATATTAAATTTGTGCAATAAAAATATTTTTCAATTGATGAGAAAAATAAATGTTGTCTGATCAATTTATTCAAGTCGTTTATAATTTTAAAATTTGTAACAATTGAATTTTATAATTGAAACAACTATTTAACAATAAGTTTGCTTTTATGATCGAATAATAACTGACGTTAAATAGTTTGGAAAAGAAATGCCAAATAACGGCGAGATGGCCGAGCGGTCTAAGGCGCTGGTTTAAGGCACCAGTCTCTTCGGAGGCGTGGGTTCGAATCCCACTCTCGTCAGATATTTTTTAAAAATTATTTTTTATATTTTTAAATTTTCTAGCAATTAGATTTTGATAATCTTTCAAGTAAAAAATTTTTATAACTCGAAAAATAAATGTTTTTAACCATAAGTGATCAACTGAGTAAGCTCTTATAGCCAACTTGGCTATTGTTCGTCCTGTCTTCTCCCAGTCAAAATAACGTTGTAGATCAGTCAATCCTTCTCTCCCTCTAAATATTCTCCATTCATTTCCTCATCAAACATACAAAAAAAATTTTCCTCCGTTCCTCTATATTTTATACCAATTTGGGCAGCTGACTGACTGACATTGATGTGAGCAGCTCAATTCAACTTTTTATTTCCAAGTGTGAGTGAATAGATTCGGCTGGTCGAGAAGAAAATTATGATGATGATGATGGTGATGATGAGAGTTAGGTAGAGTTTAGTAAAAGTGATGGGTTGGCGAATGAGTGAATGAATTTATTTATAAATAAATGAGTGAAGCGAGCGATCTGCCCATTTTTGTGGTAGCGGTGTGCGTTCGTTCACCTCCAACAAGCAGAGGCAGGTCTGTTCTTATTGACACTTTCTCTCTCTATATCCTTAACGATTTTCCCTTTTTTCCAAGTTTAGCCAGATCTCCTTACCAAAATCTTTCATTAAGGTGAGGGAGAGAAAGTCGATCTATGATTTATTGCAAGGTGAATTATTACTTCATAAAAGGTTTTTCTCAATTTTTCTCTCCCTCCTCGTTCATTTAAAAAATTTTAATTGAGGCTAATTACTTTATTTTTTAACAATTCAATAATTATAAATTAATTTAGTTTAAAGGGCGTAAATAATATTTAAATTAATCCTCTTCTACATATTTTTCAATCATTTCTCTTTATTTATTTTAATTAGTCATTAAATTATTTTTTATTTTAATTTTATTTATTATTTAACGAAAAATCTCGAGATTTTAAATATTACATTTAACATTAATAATTCCAAAACTTCCTTAAACAGAATGATCAGAGCCGTGTCGGAGCAAAACTGCGCCGACCAAAATATAATCCTTCTAAAACGCCGTCTTTCCTAGAGTTGCCAAACTGGACCGACTCGGACCGGAAGATCGAGTCGGGCCTAGATGTTTATCCCGAAAAAGACTCGTACCGGCCCGACTCGAAAATGGCAACCCTAGTCTTTACAGAACTCTTGGAAGACGTTGTTTTGCCCCTACCCGATCATATAACTGCATCAAATTTTAATTTTTGTTCCGATCCATTCGAGTTTATCATATGGATATGCTACTGTATTATATTATCTTTTGTATGATATAGCTAAATTTTAAGCTTATAATTAAAATTTTTATATAAAGTACATTCCCTCTCGTTCATCTAAAAGCTAAAAGAAAAAATAAAGAGAAAATAATTAAGGCCATATCGAATTTTATAGATTGCATTAATCCAAAAATAGAGAAAAAGCTCTCCTTCCTCATCAACTATTTATTTAATACCCCTCAAAACTAGGCATGTTTTTAATTTTTTCTTGAGTTTTTTTTTGTTTCTCTCCCCTCTCATTTATTCATGCAAACAAAGAATGTTTGGATAGAGAAAGGAATGTTTTTGCCATATTTCTACTTCTCTAATTTTATTTTTTCTTTATTTTTACTGTTCAATGGTTATGTTTGTGTGCCAGTCAATTCCGTGCCGCATAAAATGCCAAATCCCAAATAATGCCAAAAGATAGGGTTGTGTTATTATGGCCAGAACCGAGCAACCTTGAAGGAGGCTCGTGCTTTGGGAGGCTTGGAGTTAAGGGGATAACCCGGGTTCTATTACCCCCTCCCCCTCCCCCCAAAGCTCAGGGTTACACTTACCCGCATTTTTCAATAAGGATTCTGGGTTAACCTACCCGCAGCTGAGGGTTGGTTAACCCTTACCTCGTTCTTATAATACCGCCCCCGGAGCCGAGAAACCGTTGACTCTTGGGAGGCTCGTGCCGCAAACCTCCGCGCGAATCATGGGGTTTTACACGTGTCGAGCCGATACCCATAGGTTTAGCTATTACCTCAATTTGGCATTTTGTCTTTCTGGGCTATTTGGCATTATTTAGATTTGGCATTTTATGTGCCAGTCAATTCTCTTTCTCCATAAATGGACTTGATGGAAAGAAAAAAAATAAATTGGTGTGAGAGAGGGGGATAGTAGCTAACATTTAAGCTATTCAAAAGCCCCATCGGAAATGGACGGCTTGATGGGATTGAATGGAAGGCTTTGCCAGAGGCGACCGATGGAAAATAAACACACACACAAGTATGTGAGTATGAAAGCCTGAATAGGGGGGCAGACACTACTAAAAATGGAAAATGCGGCACTGAAAGAAAAGAAAATGAAAGCAATTTTGTTTAAGCTTTGTGAATTTGTGCCAATCCTTTCAACCATCAGTCAGTCAACAAAAAAAAAGGAGAAAAAAGAAATTTTAGAATGAAAATCGTAAAAAGTAAAGTATGTAGCTGCTACTATCAACCAAACAATTAAAAACTATACACATTTTCCTTATTTTTAAAAATATTTCCTTTTTACAGTATTTTTAAAATATTAAAAAATTCTTAAAATTAGTCATTTACTCTAATAATCTCGATTATCTAGAATCGAGATTTTTTAAGATACCGATCTCGATTCCAATACATTCCTCCCAGTAGTTTATCGATATAGAAATATTCATATTCGTTGATCTACCTATTTTAGCAGGGGTGTGCCGAAAGTGATTTCAAAAAGCGAAAGGCGAAAATGCGCAAGTCATTTTAAAAAGCGAACGGCGAAAGGCGAAAGACGAATGTCCAAAAAAGGCGAAAATCGGCGAAAGGCGAAAGACGAAACTCGCACACCCCTGTATTTTAGGCATTTTTTGCGGTCGTCAATTCTTTTAGAATTAGAGGTTGATCTGGGAGTGTCCTAAGATAATTGAGATCTCTAATGGTCTCAATCTCGTTAACCGAGACTTTTTTTTTGAGATCTCGTCTCGGTTAAATCTCCATTTTAGGATCATTTCTTCTCATATCAGTAAATCAGTAGGCACAGGAGTTCCGCTAAGTTTCTGGAACTGTCAGAACCCTGCTGGCTGATACTTTGATTTTTTAATAAAACCAGAATTTTTAGGAACATTCCTGAAAGGCAGGATTTTATCTTGTGTCCTGATCATATTATCAGAAGGCAATTTAATTTCATAAATTTTACTTTTATTTTACTTCCTTTACTTACCATTCCACAATAAACTCAAATAATTACCCTACAGATTAAACAAAAAAATTTATTGGCAGCTGCCAGTATCAGCTACTTTACTCTATTGCTAGAGTAGTTAATTACATATTCAACTCTCTATGTGCCTTTGGCATGTTTCGATATAGTAATAAATAGATGGCGATGTTGGGTTGGTCACACAATCCATCTCTCATTCAGTCACAAAATGGAAGGGATGGAAGGGATTCATCTCAACTTTTTTTAGTGCCTATCCGATTACTCTCTCATTTTGCCCAATGCTTGAAGCTTTCTCGGCTTTTACCTCCCCCCTCTATCTTCCCCCTCAATTCATTTTCCCGCACATTCAGCCAGTCAGTCTCCCTCCCATGTTTGGCAGCGCACTCTCCTTTCAATTTTTTCCATTCCATTCGCTCCGCTCATTTTCTATTTTTTTTCTACTACTTTTTATAAACCAACTACTGCTCATTCATCCCCCTTAAACATTCTCATCAGTGCCAAAAAAGCTTTTCAGCGATAGCAGTCAGTAGTCGATGGGGGGAAGGTTTGCCAACATAAAATATCTCTCTCTCCCCCTTTTGCCAATAAATATACATATAAATGGTGGCAAGCCGCCTTTGGCACACAATTTTCTGTTATTTAGTTGATGTCTGCTCTGATGTGAGTGACACAAGCGATAGCTAAAAGGAATAAGAATATTTTAGGGCGGAGGCTTGAATAAAGCAGTCAGCCGTTGTTTGGCGCATTTTGTCCCGTTGAACGAAGCCTTAGACCTCTAGGCCTCAACATTTTTCCTTTCATTCTTATTTGAGTGATGGCGACGGCTGCCTGGCTGCCACTTTCTTTCTTTCATTCTTTTTTTGAGATCGTTTATTTATTCAATCTAAAATTACTACTATATTTTATTCGGGCAAAAATGGAAATTTTTAATGGCACACAGTAAACCTCTAACAGAATATATTCATTTTAATTCTTCCAATCAGTCTATTTTCTACTGA